CTGGTGTGAGCTGGGCTCTGGGAGGCCACGTGTCTGGAAGAGATTGCTGGTGTGAGCTGGGCTCTGGGAGGCCACGTGTCTGGAGGAGGAGGGTGCTGGTGTGAGCTGGGCTCTGGGAGGCCACGTGTCTGGAGGAGATTGCTGGTGTGAGCTGGGCTCTGGGAGGCCACGTGTCTGGAGGAGGGTGCTGGTATGAGCTGGGCTCTGGGAGGTCACGTGTCTGGAGGAGGAGGGTGCTGGTGTGAGCTGGGCTTTGGGAGGCCACGTGTCTGGAGGAGATTGCTGGTGTGAGCTGGGTGCAGGGCCCTCTACCCCTGACTCCTGCCTGCAGGCTGAGCAGGCAGAACCTAAGCAGGATCTGGCACAGGTCCCTCGGTGCCTCTGTTGGGCTGGGCCAGGGCATCAGCTCTCCTCCACCCGGGTCGCTCACCTGCTCCTCTCCTCAGGAGTGCTCCTGGGCAGCTTCATGGCCTCCTGACAGTACAAAGAACAAATAACACCTCAGAGTGATCAGGGCTGTTCCCTGGGACACATGTCGGCAGCAGTGATGGCCACGGGGCAGACCACAGGAAAGGCCACAGGAAAGGCTACAGGGCAGACACGTTCTCTGGGGGAAGAGCTTCTGAGATCTGTGCTGTACAGTTCTTGGCATCACCCCTCAGGGGACGGCCACACTGCGAAGTCAGAGACCCACAGGTGCCTAGGAGGACAGGTGCTGGGTCCTGAGAGGAAGCCTGAAGGTCCAGCACGTCTTCTGAATTCTGCCCAGGATCCCTCCCACAGATACCACACTCTCCAGCACCCACAGCCATTTCAAACAACACATGAGCAGCTGCACGATGCCAAGAAGCCCAGAGGTCTTCCCTCTGCCCACCCTGGCCCCGCCTGTCCCCCACTGCCCACCCTCCGTCCCCTCCTGTCCCCTCTGCCCACCCTCCGTCCCCTCCTGACCCCACTGCCCACCCTCCATCCCCTCCTGTCCCCTCTGCCCACCCTCCATCCCCTCCTGTCCCCTCTGCCCACCCTCCGTCCCGTCCTGGTCCATCTGGAAATCTCTCATGTACTTGGTAGGGTGCTTCTGTCATTGGGAACTCTAGCATATACAGCAACATGAACCAAGTTCGGGCTCACATGTGGGTGTGGTTTGCGTGGCGGCCCCTCTGGGGCTCTTGCCACACTATTTTGTGCTTTTCAGACACCTTTGGTGTTTATTTTCACCTTCTTCCCTGTCTTTTAATTTTTCATTTATCTACTTACTATTCCCTCTACCTGTTTCCTAAATAGTATGTCTTCAAATTAGTAACTAAGATTGTCCCTCAATTTACAGTTTAGCTCAAGGTGGATGCTTGGCTCGGTTCTTTCTGCCGGCCGGTGTCTCCCGTCCCGGCTGCCTTCCCTTGGCCTCCCGCAGCTCCTCCCCAGCGCGGTCTCGCTGTCTCCGCTGGCTGTTCATCTCCAGCTCTCCTTGACTCCCCTTGGCAGGCAGAGCTCGTTTGGGGTCTCTCCTTCCTCCCTCTCTGGGTGGGGTGGCCTCTCCTCCCCCCCAGGCCCGACCCCCTCTTCTCCCCCGCAGCCCCCTAGCCTGGTCTCAGCCTCCC